AGAACTGGTTCTTTGGAAAGATAAGCAATATAAATAGACCCTTAGCCCAGTTAACCAAAAGAAAGGAAGCAAATCCAGATCAGCAAAATCAGAGATGAAATGGGAAACATCACAATAGACACCTAAAAGATCCAGACTATTATAGGGGAATATTTTAAAAACCTGTACACTACTAAATCTGAAAATCTAAAAGAAATGTATGGATATCTGAAATAATGGGAACCACCAAAGTTAAACCAAGAAGAGATCAACAGTTTAATTAGACCCATAACTTATAAGGAAGTTGAAACAGTAATACAAAGCCTCCCAACTAAAAAAGCCCAGGCCCAGATGGATTTACAGCAGAATTCTACCAGACATTTAAAGAAGACCTCCAACCAGTAATACTTAAATTATTCAAAGCAACAGAGGGAGTATTCCCACATTCCTTCTACGAAGCCAGCATCACTCTAAGACACAAACTTGGTAAAGACAGAACCAAAAAAGAAAACTATAGACCCATATCCTTAATGAACATAGATGCAAAAATTCTCAACAACATACTTGAAAACCACATACAGACACACATCAAAAAGATCATCCACAATGATCAAGTGAGCTTTATCCAAGAGATGCAGGGAAGGTTCACTATACATATGTCAATAAACGTCATAAATCATATATATGGGCTCAAAGACAAGACCCACAAGGTCATCTCAATAGATGCAGAGAAGGCCTTTGACAAAATTCAATATGTGTTTATGTTCAAAGTCCTAAAGGGAAGTGGACTAGAGGGAACATACCTCAACATAATTAAAGCCATATATAACAAACCCACAGCCAACATCATTCTAAATGTAGAAAAACTGGAAGAATTCTCATTGAATTCAGGAACCAGACAAGGCTGTCCACTATCTCCACTTCTCTTTAACACAGTACTTGAAACTCTTGAAAGAGCAATAAGGAAATTAAAGGAGTAATAATTTGAAAAGAAGAGATCAAATTATCCCTTTTTGCAGAT